GGTGGGGGGAATTAAGAATTATATCTTGAGTAAAACTGTGCATCAAGTAAAATGGTGAAATTAGGATATTTCCAAATACATATAAATTAAGAGAATTTCTAAAGCCTGTTAATCTTATAAGAACCACTAAAGAGAATTCTTCAGACGAAGAACAAAGAACAGAAGACAATGACCTCAGCTAAGGGGCATGGCAAAATCACCAAAAGGTCAACCCAGATATAGAAGTATTTAAAGTAAAATAAGCCTGCCGCAAGATGGCAAATTAGGCAAATAATGTTCTACGACCCTCTGTAATAAAGACAGGAGAGACCAAATGACACTAATGCTCACGAGAAAGGTAGAATTTTTCCTTGTTCTCCACACACTCTTGCTAATCAGAAGTGTGTCTAGCTCCTATCCTTTAGCTACCCAGCAGCCACTGATCGCTCATTCCCAGGACACTGTCTGCCTAAGGGTGAAATGCAGCCTTCTAGGTCTCAGATCAGCAGCACAAGCCTTGGCAAAAACTCCTTCCATAACCAGATGCCCGGCCCCTCAATGCCCTCTGAGCTAGCAGAAACTATTTCCAAATTAGTTGCCCTAACTCCAGACATTTGTTTTTGGTAGGCCTGGTTGAGTTGGCTCCAACTCATCGCCACCCTAATTACAACAGAACACCCCACTGTTCATTCTCACAATTGTTTCGGAGCCCACTGTTGCAGCCACCCTGTCAATCCATACTGTTGAGAGTTTTCTTCTTTATCCACTGGACCCTCTATTTTATCATCATGAGGTACTTCTCCAGAGACAGGTCTCTATTGATAACTTGTTCAAAGTACACGAGAGGAAGCTGTACCATCCTCACTTGCCTCTGAGATATTGTTTGTTCTTCTGGCAGCCCATTGTAATTTGAATATTCTCTGCCAACACCCTAAGTCAAATGCATCAATTCTGCTCCACTCTTCCTTATCCAATGTCCACATGTATATGAGATGACTGAAAATACCATGGCTTGACTATGAAACCCTGATTTCCACTGAAAGGCAGAACTCAGAACCTTTTATTTTACGTCTGTAATCATGTATCTTGACGTCTTTTGAAGTGAAGGGGCAGGAAACCTCCTGGGAGTGTGCAGCACTTTACTGGAGCACTTCAAGGAACAAGGAACGGACACTCCTCCGATAGGAAGTGATGACAGGTAAACGAGCTTAGTGATGCTGAGGATGATGCAATTTTGATGGCTAACAGAGAATCATCCTTTTGGATGGAGAAGCTGCTGGTTTATCCACAACCCAGTTCCATCAGCATTCCTATGAATGATTGACATCAAATTCTTCTTACCACTTGCCTTCCTCTCTCCTCACCATGAAACAGTGACTGCTTTTGTCTCCCAGCAGCAGCGTGCCCTGTCTTTTCACAAAAACACAAGGAGCTTACATTCCTTGAGTCAGGAACTCATGACCGAAAACCCCCTTTCCCTGAACGACTGGCCAGTAGAAACAATGGAACTGACAGGCAAATTGATTCTGATTCATTTTCTTCCTCTCCATGAGTGACTGTTTATTTTTTTTAGTGACCAAACCTTTCAAGGTTTGGGTGCCCAGATGAGTGGTAATGCTAATACATGCAAACATGTATCCTTTCAAGTGACCACTCACACTAACTGCTCATCACTGACTCACTTTTACCCAGACAGTAACAACCCACACCGTCTTCCTTCAGGGACCTACCAGCAGACACAGCTGTGGGTGCTGTGCAGATATGCAATTTACTGGATGTTTCTCAGCCTGATTCAGAAACTATAGATTGAAATGTGAGGTAAAGATTATGATTGGGGGAGGGCTGGAGACAATAGTTGTAAATTACTATGGCTGATTTATTTCTACTCTATTCACACATATGTACACACACACACATACACACACACATATTGCTTTTGTACAAACTATTTAGGAAAATACGCATTGTATTTTTTTTAACAAATCTGAGAAAACACTATGAATTGCAGGTGCTTGACTTCCAGAAAATATTTTGTGTTGTTAATATATGAATGCTGAAAGTTGCAGATCTTTGCTAGGATGCAATAAATTTATATACTAAAAAAAGAAAAATACAATAGTTTGGTTCAGGGACACCTTTGACCTCAAAATGACACGTTTGCTCTTTAATATAAAGAGGTATTGTGCATCAGATTTGCCCATTGCAATGTTATTTGATTTTTTTTAACAATTGATGCAGAAAAGCCATTTAATAAAATCTAACACCTATTCCTGATAAAAAGATTCAACAAAATAGAAATATAAAGAAAATTCCTAAACATAATAAATTTCATTTATTTAAAACCAAAAGCCAACACTGCCCTCAAAAGATAAACTAAAAGCATTCTGATTTCTAATGAGAACCAG